TTTTATTACTTGGATATTAATAATTTATATTAATACATTTTTACTTCATTTATACAAATTATATAATGYAGTATTTTGACCAGGCAATGTAGGTTTTATATTATTAAAAAAATGTAAATAAATATATGGCTCTTGTACACACAGGTAATCAGATGAATGTCGGATATATCCGGCATCTGTACTAAAAAAATTCAGTACGACAAAAAATCTATCCCTGTCACAAATAAGTACGCAACAAGATATCAAAAGATAAAAATGCAGAAAACGGAATAATAATTCTGAAAATACTTTTAAGTTTACATAAGCATGGTATGAACAGAACCGCAATAAATTTAATCAAAAGTAAATAGGTAATAATAATATTTCTCGATGTTTAAATTCTTAATCTCTATATAAACTGTTTGTAATTCTGAAATATGTTGATATTTTCATGAAGGACAAATTGAATGTTCTAAATATCGTTTCCTTACCTATTCTGCCATTCAACAATAGAATTTAAATACAATATCGATCATTGTCTCTCAGACAGCAAGTATACATGCTAGTATCTTTCTATTTTTATTCTAGTTAACATTATACAGTTGTAGTAAACTCATGTCACATATAATTCAGCACTCCGATTTTCCACTTGTGTTTATTCAAACAAATAATTATAAATATAAAACATAAATTTTGTGTAATACAAAATAAAATTTCCAAATAATTTACGGAAAATTCAAAGTGTTCAACAGAAAAAGTTAAACAAAGTGAAGAAACAGAAACAAAAATTTAACAAGTTATTAAGTAAGGTTATGTAAACATTGAAATCTTTTTTAATTTGGTAATAAAAACTTGTGTTTAATGGATATAAGAAAGGAAGGTGTAGATTTTAAAGATTATATATTCACCAAGTTCAACCCAAAATCGGTAGTTTTTTTAAGATGGCTAAATAGTTTCGAATATGTATTCGAAATGTCTGACACAGGAGATGATGAAAAGGTTAATTGTTTATTAAATATGTTAGAACCTTTGGTCCTTCAGAAACTTATAAAAAAAGCATGTCCTTCCAAACTTGTTAATCTTTCATACAATGAGATTATAACCCTGTTGGAGAATACTTTCTCGAGTTTTAAAGGAAGAGAGGTACCGAATTATCGTTATCTATTTCGACATCAATTTCCGTATGAATCTGTAGAACACTATGCCCTCGCATTAAGAAGGTTATATGGTAATTGCTCTCCTCACTTTAAAAGTTTGATTCCAATAAAGAATCGATTCATAGAAGGATTATTAGACAAGGAAACTAAAACTTTATTAAAAAAGGATGAAAATATATCATTTTCTATGGCAGTATTTATCGCACAGGAAAAGGAACTTCCTAAGGATCAAGAATAAGAATAATCATCTTCCAAGGAAAATAATTTAATACTAATATATTTAACTCGCACATGAAAAAATAAAAAGCCAAAGAAGGATAATTGACTTTGGCTATTCAGCAATAAAGAATTTTCATTTCTTCAATATTTTTAAGTTATTCGGTTAATCGAAGAATAATACAACATAACGAAATTTTCGACGAATACAAAATTATTTATTTCTATTGTGAATTGTGGCATATGCAAAAACAAAGCACGTTTACTTTATTCATATTGATACCTAAATTAGGATGACAAGAAAAAATCTACAACAAAAACGACATTTTATTTTAATACTTTTTTTCTGCGAGTTATTAAGACGACAAAATATTTTAATCTCGGAAACATTACGTTATAGTTTAGACATTAATTTTAGTGTTAATAATAAATGTTCAATTAACGAAAATAGAAAATATTTTTTGTTCTTTTAAAGTATATTGTTAAAGTTGCGTTTGAAATTGTAAACAATAATATTGCATCTTTTTGCAACACAGTAAAAATAATTATTAGTGATATCACTTCTGTGTTACAATTATTTTATTATATATACCTATTCCTGTCATTAGTGGTGAAATGATTCTTGTAAAAAAAAAACGAATATTTTCACCTCGTATGCAATTTTACATAATTAGATCGTAATAAAAATATATTATTTTATTATTTGGATATATTAATAATTTATATTCATACATTTGTACGGCATTTGTACAAATTATAAGATGCAGTATTTTGATCAGACATTGTAGGTTTTTTATATTAATAAAACAATGCACAAAAATATTTGTCTCTTGTACACACAGGTAATCAGATGAATGCCGGATATATCCGGCATCTGTACTAAAAAGTTTCAGTACGAAAAATTGAATCTATCATACATTATTCATAAATAAGTACGCCACAAGATATCGAAGGATCAAAATGCAAGAAACACGATTACAATTCTAAAAATAAAAATGTTTCTGAAAATAAATCGGTAACAGTTGATATTTGTCGATGTTCAAATTCTTAATCCCTATAATCTGTTTGTAACTCTGAAAGATATTTACATTTTCATCAAGGACAAATTGAAGGTTTCAAATATCGTTTTCTTGCCTCTTCATTAAACAGTTGAGTTTAAATACAAAATCGATCATTGTCTTTAAGACAGTCAGGATATATGCTACAATTTTTATATTTTTATTCTTGTAATCGTGATATAATTATAGCAAACACATTTAACATAAAATTCGACATTCCGATTATTCTCTCATGTGCATTAAACAAATAATTCTCAATATAAAACATTAAATTTTGTGTGGATAAAGCAATAAAATTTCTTAAGTTCATTACGATAAATATAAAAAAAGTGTTGAACAGTGAAAGTTAAACAAAAGGAAACAAAAGAAAAGAAACATTTAACAAGTTATTAAATAACGTGATACACAAAAATCAAAAACTTTTAATTTTCAATTAAATATTGTGTTAAATGGATATACGAGCCAATGGCGTACTTTACAGAGACTGGATGTTCCGCAAATATGATCCAAAATCGATGAATTTTATAAAATGGCTACATGCTTTTGAATATATATTCGAAGTCTCTAACGCAGAAGATGATGAAAAGGTTAAGTGTTTATTAAATATGATGGATCCTTCGTTCCTTAAGAAAATTCGGAAAAAATTATTACCTTCCAACCCTTATAATCTTTCATACGATAAACTTTTAAAGGTGTTGGACAGTAAAGCCTCGCGTTTTCCAGATGAAGAGATAGTGAATTTTTATTATGCATTTCGATATCAATTACCATATGAATCTATAGAACACTATGTCCTTGGATTAAGAAAATTATACAGTAAATGCACACCTTTCTTTAAAAATATTTTTGATATAAAACATCAATTCATAGATGGATTATCAAACGAAGAAACAAAATGTTTATTAAACAAAAAAAAAAACATAACATTATCTATGGCAGTATGTATAGCAAAGCAAATGGATCTTGCTAAAAATAAAAAATCAGGAGAATCATCTTCCAATAAAACAATTTCATACAAATATTAACTCGAAAAGAAAAAAAAAATTAAAAAGACAAAGAAACATAATCGAATTTGGCTATTAACCAATCAATAATTTTCATTTCTTCAATTTATATTACAACGATTAAATATTTTAATTTTAGTAACACTAACGTTATAGTTTAGACGTTAATTTTAATATTAATAGTATATGCTCGATAAACGAAAATGGAAAATATTTTTTATTCTTTTAAAGTATGTTATTATTTATAATAGATTTCCGTATAGACATAAATATAACGTCAAAAATATATGAAATATATATCTTTTGTTAATTATGTAGGATATATATATATATACGCTACTATAAATTGGTGAATGAAGAAATGTTAACACATACCAAATAAGTCAGTGAAAAACCAAATATTTCGATTAAT